TCCACGTGGTCCGCGGCCATTTTCCACCCGTTCCACGTGGTCCGCGGCCATTTTCCACCCGTTCCACATGGGCCGCGGCCATTTTTCCGCCCCTGACACGTGGTCCACGGCCATTTTTTCTGCCCTGCCGCATGGTCAATGGCCGTTTTTCTGCCCCTGCCGTGTGGTCCGCGGACGCCGGAACGGATTAACGGTAATTACATTGAACCTTATGGGAAAATTTGATTCGGGTCACAACCAAAATTGGTTGGCGACCAAATTCGGAGGGGTCAGAACGGATTAACTGTATTTACATTGAACCTTATGGGAAAATTTGATTCGGGTCACAACCAAAATTGGTTGGCGACCAAATTCGGAGGGGTCAGAACGGATTAACTGTATTTACATTGAACCTTATGGGAAAATTTACTTTGACTTGCGACCAACTCGACTTGCGATCAGAGTCACGGAACGGATTAAGTTCGTAAGTAGAGGTACCACTGTATTTGCTAACTTGTTGTAGGCACTAGCATGATTTTAGAATTTTGCCACATTCTACATTATGGTAGGAGTATTGTCAGACAATAGGTATGGCATATAAAAATGCCTGGAGCAACCTGGAAAATCTACTAGCAAGGGTGTAATATAGATACTGCATACAGTACATGGCTGTAATATTGGTAAAATACATGGTTTTGATAGAGTTGGGGTTCAGACCTCTCTCATTCTGAAATTCAGTGTCTAAAATCCTTTCACTAATAACTCTCCTGGCCTGAGTAAATTCAAGTACAGTGGTACCTCGGGTCACGAACACTTCTGTTCACGATCAATTCGGGTCATGAACAGCTCCGTTCACAAAATTTTGCTTCCGTTCGCGAACGCTGGATCGGGTGACGAACAGGATCCATGGCCATTTTCCCTGCCGTGACACGTGGTCATGGCTTCCTGTAGGGAGAGGGACTCTCCCTCCAAGCAATAACCGCCTCCCCACCCACCTTCCTGTCCTCCATGCCAGAAGTCACGTCAAGCAAGGTTAGCGTTCTCTCTCTTCGTACTGTTCTTTGTTTTATATTTTTGTAGTTTAAAAAAAAACACACATATGGTTCAGAACGGATTAACCGTAATCACTTTGAACCTTATGGGAAAATTTGATTCGGGTCACAACCAAAATTGGTTGGCGACCAAATTCG